TCATCCAAGGAATTGAACTTATCCTTCCCTATCTTGCATCGAACCTGAATGCCTCACGTTACCCTGGCGCTCCATGACTACTACCGGTTTAGCGCTTCCCCTGAATAAAATAAATGAAATGAGAGGATAGAAAAATAAAAAACAGAATCGACTAAGATTTAAACAAGAAAATTATGATGATCCAAAGCAGTATTTCACACAGAAAAAGTATCTTATAATTTAACATGGACAGATGTAAGTAACTTGTACGAGGATTTTTACAACGAATATGATCCCTTCAGGGACATTCCTTGATGTCGGCGAGTAGTTCTTGATCCACGGAATTGGGTTTGAGCTCTTGGATTATACTTGCCTCCCATTCCCGCCCAGGCACTCTTTGACTTCTAAGGGTTTAGCGTCCCCCTCTCATAATAAATTCAACTCCCTGTTTCCATCCCTGATCCCATACCCGCTCACCCCTCACCACCACCATCCCCTCTCCGCCACTACCATCCCTTACTACCGTTAATCCCTCACTACGACTAACCCCGTAGTGCCACTAACCCTTTGCCACCACAACTAACCCCTCACCACCACCACTATTTATGTCGACAGCGCACACCATAAGTTCAGAGAATGCGTGTTGGACCAGACTCCGAGGGTGTGTGATGAGCCTGGGGGCCACCCTGGGTCTGCCTCCATCTTCATGAAGTCCATGCTCGACCGAGCACTCGGATTCCTACTGCAGAAATGCAAGAACTTTGTGTGAGTCTCATCACTTGTCTCCATCTCAGTATACTATTCCTCTCCAAAACGGTATATTTGCCTTAATTTGACAGCCTCAGTTTCTAATAATTTAACTATTGTTTCCCTTTTGTTTCTTGCAATGTAATTGTCGACCCATTTAAAATTTAGCTGTACTTGGTGATATTTTTTAAGCGTTAGCATTGCAGACTTTTGTTTATCTTTTTTAACTTTTTCATTTCTTTAATCTATATATTGTAAGTTTTGACCTGTTTTATCTATTGTGTCATTTTTTCAACCTGACTTCACACAAACAAGCGTGTATCTTCTCAAGAGTTATGTAAAGTGCTAGCATCCACATACTGTACAAGTGAGAAAAAGTTCAATATTTTAACGTTTGCATATGCAAGTGCCTTACTACTGTGCCATCCTCTGCCTTTTTGTTTTTTGGTTAGGGTAAATCACATTTGGTTAATCCAGGAAAATTCTGGTTAGGGTAAGCTAACTAACTATACAGTAGATTTTTTTTATCAGGATATAAAAGTTGCCAAATAACAATATACTGGTGCCCCGTGGCTTGGTGGCTAAATCTCTCGCTTCACGCGGCACGAGTCTGGGTTCGATTCCTAGCGAGGGTAGAAACATTGGGCGTGTTTCTTTACACCGGTTATCTATGTACCCCATTAGTAAAATGGGTACCCGGGTGTTACTCGATTGGTGTAGGCCGCATCCTGGAACAAAACTGACCTAATTTGCCCGAAACGCGGCTTTCTATATAGTAGGATGTCATTGATGTCTGCTAAGCCTGTATACCTTGTACATGCACTTGTAGAAATAAAGATATTATTATTATTAAAAAAATCAGTATTTGTTAACACAGAAAACGACGAGCAGTTTCCTGTGTAATGGGATCCTTGGGTATCTTGATGCCGGTGAAGGGTTAGGATAAGATATGTTCTGATTTTTAACCCGGAGGGCTAACCACCCAAGAAAGCCAGTGCGTCATCGAGGACTGTCTTATTTCCTTTGGGGTCCTTCAGTTTTGTCCACAAGGATGCAACCCATGCTAATCGACTATCACACTACTTACTACTAGGTGAATAGGGACAGCAGGTGTAAAGAAACATGCCTAACATTTCCTCCTGTGTCGGGGATCGAGGTAAAGACAGTGCATGATGCGAGAGCACCTCCAACCACGCCAAGGGAATTCGAGTTCTCTCCTTCCTCTAATCAAATCTGATTGCCTCCCGTGTCTTATGCTTGGTATGATCCCTATGAGTTTAGCACTTTCCACGACATAAAAGTAATCCTGCGAGATGGCTGTTACGTAAACATGGTCAGTTCGTTCTAAACCTGTAAAATAACACTGTATATAAAACAAGATATGACACAATGGAAATGTATCTAGTTTTTGTTAAAAAATCTTAACTTGATGTACGTGGGTCTTTACACGTTCCCCAGCTCGAGGAGAAATAGGCATTTGTATCTGTCATATAACTAATGACATGTTTTTAGCTATTCCGTTGTTGACTTGTTTAAACTTTAATGCTGACTTATTTAAAATTTTCTTCTGTTAACGCTGATTCTAACTTTAAACTTTACTGCTGTAACTGTTAGACTTGCAAGGGTTGAAGTTTGGTTCCCTGTCTTGCAGGCCCAACGCTCGAGACTGTCCCCGGGGGAACTTTGGGAAAGCCCCCCACCCCACCAATCCCCAACAGCTACAACAAACCAAAATAAATTTCAAGAAGGGGTTCCCCTGTGGATGTCCTGAATTGTAATTAATTCCTTTGGTCCCTGAATTTTGAGTATCTATACCTAGCTTCTTCCAGTGAGATTTGTTGGATCATTATATGATCAAAGCCTTCCGTGAGACATAGAATCGTAATGAGATAGCTTCAAGCTCGGTGTCTGGGTTACTTTAGCGCCAGTTAGAAAATGGCTATTTAGTTTCAGTGTAGACCCCAGTTGTAAAATGTTACCTAGTGTTACAAATTTATTCGGACGATCTTGAATTTAATAACTCATTTTTGCCCAAGCTCGGCTATTGCATTATTGCGAACACGAAAAGGCTAGGGCTATATTCAATCCCCTTGTTGTTCACACGTAAAATATTAACATTATTAAATTAGTATGTAAATGATTTAAAAACCGACAGAGTTGTGAACATGGGTATCTTTGGTAAGATGCCAGCAGTGGCTTCTTAGTCTATACAACAGTAAGAACTGATAAACGAGGGTTGAGTACCACCCTAAGCCAGGCGTCATGTGGACCCGTCCTTTAAACTTGAGGGCCTTGATGATTGAACACATGGACTCGAAGCCCAGCAAGCGACTGATACCTCTACACTTATAGGCACCGGTCTTTATATGTAAATGCTAACAATCCCCTGTGCGGAACGGTTCCTCAATAAGATAACCCCAAGCACCAAGTGTTCAGTCTCTCATTACTATATTGAAAATCCCCTTTTGAAACGCGTCTTAAGCAGGGAATATATTAGGTTTATGCCTGTATACGAATAAAATAATATGAAGGTAATACTAAAGTGGGTTTTCACACCGGCAAAATAACCATAGTTCATAGATACAGTGTAGAACCACAAGGAAATTTAAACTTTGTTCAAAATTTTTTTCGTTATTTCTTTAAAGCGTTCCGGGTCGAGAGCAATGACGATTTACTCAGATAACCCAGAGAATGTTTATACTATTCCTCGTTCCCTGTTAGAATTTAATGCGACTTTGTGGTGTGCGTAAGTGATCAACTTTAGCACTTTTGCCCTGTTGGTGTGCGTAAGTGTACGTGCACCTTGCCCCTGGGTGTGGTGCCTAAGTGTACTGACACCGGGGCACCTGGGTGATGCTCAAGTGTACCTACAACCTGCCCCTGGGTAAGTGGTGCAAGTGACTGCACCTACCCATAAAGTGACGTATACTACAACGACAACATGGGGGGGATGTAAGCCTACACGCAGTCCCTTGAGACGGAAAGTGTAACCTCTGGACAACAACGACAGGGCCTGAGCACGAAGCACTTTTCAGCCAGGAATTTATGTCTTCCCCCTAGATCATGCACTGAATCCTCTGCTCAGCTCCTGGCTGTTTATTTGCTGCTGGCTCAGAATACCGATGGTATAAGAAAACAACATTGAATGCCTCAAGCAATCACTAATTTTTTTGTTGCTTTAGTTGAAAAATTTATATTAAGTGTAGCTGGTTAATGATTTCAGTGATACCAATGGTGCATGATAACATTTAATTGTGTCTTTGTATAATTACTTTGATTTCTGAAGACTCTAAACCTATAGGGTCTTTCAGCCATTGAGTGGTGGAGGCACGATCCTTCAACCTCTAATACAAAACAAACACTTCGGAATTTTCCCAAACTCACAAGTTGGAAGTGGATATGAAGAGACGTTAGATAGGGAAAACCCCATTTCGTAAATGACTATTTCGGTTGAATTTAATTTATTATGACGTTCATATCCCGCAGTATTACAACATCATGTCTATACGAACGTATTATGTATTTTATCAAAAATAGTGTTACTTACGGCACACCTTTAAATCGTCGACACTTGAAGGTTACCTCTTGATTGCGATGTAATTGATAAGTAATAAGTAGTAATAGTATTTGGTAACATAAAAGATGTTCGCCACAGCCTAATATTGTGTTACCTCGAGGCTGAACTTTATTTTTAAATTAGCTTTTAAAACGCTCAAATTGTTTAAGAATTGACATTCAATTAATGCTACTTACGGAAAAAAATTATGAACTTTTAATATTTGTAAACTGCTATATATATTTTACTATATATTATACAAATTTTTTACAGATAATGAATTTCGATATATGGAATATAAGTACACATTACCATAATATTAGAATGGCTAAACAATTTTTTAATTGGACTAATTGGCTTTGGAAATCGCTACTTCCAAGTTTAAATCATATAAGTGGTCGAAATTTTGCTCTGTCAAACTAATTGCCAATGTTAACATTCTTCGAGCTGCAGAGGTTTAAAATGAGAGAGTTCATTTCTGTCCCTGTTGAGAGACTGCACTCGTTTAAATTTGTTAACATTCTTTGAGCCATAAATGGCCTCTGGATACTGCTTCTATTTTATCGAGGATAAGTTAAACTTTATCACAGTCTAGATTTTAAAACCAATGTTTATGTTCAATTTTTCTTGACCTGATTGACTTGTCCTGATTGTTCATTTGAATACTCCTATATTAAACCCAACTAGGGAAATACTTAAATAATATATAAAATTATATAGAGATATAATTCATAACATATATATATAAATGCTTATATATATATATATAATATAAATATAGATTTAGATATAATTGAACAATCATCATTGTGAGAACATTTCGTCAGATTAACGGAATGCGATCTGTCTTTTGAGGCCTCAATAGGATCATAGGCAGTAATAATTATTTTTTGCTTGTTAGTGTCGACACGTGTAACTGCCACCCGTGTAGACAACTGTATTCTAGCTCGACAGTCTCTTCTAAGATGCAGGTCTGTAGTTCCCCCCTTGTAGGAGCTGGGAGGCAGTTTTGAACAGTCTCGGCCCTGTGACACTTATTGTATGGTCTCTAACGTGCTAGTGACACCTGCTTTCTTTAGGGGTGGCATGTTTCTCTTTAGTCGTAGTGATTATTTCGTGTGCAAGTTTGGTACTAGTCCCTCTAGGATTTTCCAGGTGTATATAATCATGTATCTCTCCCTCCTGCGTTCCAGGGAATACAGGTTTAGAAACCTCAAGCGCTCCCAGTAATTGAGGTGTTTTATCTCCGTTATGCGCGCCGTGAAAGTTCTCTGTACATTTTCTAGGTCGGCAATTTCACCTGCCTTGAAAGGTGCTGTTAGAGTGCAGCAATATTCCAGCCTAGATAGAACAAGTGACCTGAAGAGTGTCATCATGGGCTTGGCCTCCCTAGTTTTGAAGGTTCTCATTATCCATCCTGTCATTTTTCTAGCAGATGCGATTGATACAATGTTATGGTCCTTGAAGGTGAGATCCTCCGACATAATCACTCCTAGGTCTTTGACGTTGGTGTTTCGCTCTATTTTGTGGCCAGAATTTGTTTTGTACTCTGATGAAGATTTAATTTCCTCATGTTTACCATATCTGAGTAATTGAAATTTCTCATCGTTGAACTTCATATTGTTTTCTGCAGCCCACTGAAAGATTTGGTTGATGTCCGCCTGGAGCCTTTCAGTGTCTGCAATGGAAGACACTGTCATGCAGATTCGGGTGTCATCTGCAAAGGAAGACACGGTGCTGTGGCTGACATCCTTGTCTATGTCGGATATGAGGATGAGGAACAAGATGGGAGCTAGTACTGTGCCTTGTGGGACAGAGCTTTTCACCGTAGCTGCCTCGGACTTTACTCTGTTGACGACTACTCTCTGTGTTCTGTTAGTGAGGAAATTATAGATCCATCGACCGACTTTTCCTGTTATTCCTTTAGCGCGCATTTTGTGCGCTATTACGCCATGGTCACACTTGTCGAAGGCTTTTGCAAAGTCTGTATATATTACATCTGCATTCTTTTTGTCTTCTAGTGCATTTAGGACCTTGTCGTAGTGATCCAGTAGTTGAGACAGACAGGAGCGACCTGTTCTAAACCCATGTTGCCCTGGGTTGTGTAACTGATGGGTTTCTAGATGGGTGGTGATCTTGCTTCTTAGGACCCTTTCAAAGATTTTTATGATATGGATGTTAGTGCTATTGGTCTGTAGTTCTTTGCTGTTGCTTTACTGCCCCCTTTGTGGAGTGGGGCTATGTCTGTTTTTTTTTAGTAACTGAGGGACGACCCCCGTGTCCATGCTCCCTCTCCATAGGATGGAAAAGGCTCGTGATAGGGGCTTCTTGCAGTTCTTGATGAACACAGAGTTCCATGAGTCTGGCCCTGGGGCAGAGTGCATGGGCATGTCATTTATCGCCTGTTCGAAGTCATTTGGCGTCAGGATAACATCGGATAGGCTTGTGTTAGTCAAATTTTGTGGCTCTCTCATAAAAAATTTATTTTGGTCTTCGACTCTCAGTCTGGTTAGCGGCTTGCTAAAAACTGAGTCATATTGGGACTTGAGTAGCTCACTCATTTCCTTGCTGTCATCTGTGTAGGACCCATCTTGTTTAAGTAGGGGCCCAATACTGGACGTTGTTCTCGATTTTGATTTGGCATAGGAGAAGAAATACTTTGGGTTTCTTTCGATTTCATTTATGGCTTTTAGTTCTTCCCGCGATTCCTGACTCCTAAAGGATTCTTTTAGCTTAAGTTCGATGCTTGCTATTTCTCTGACCAGTGTCTCCCTGCGCATTTCAGATATATTGACCTCTTTTAGCCGCTCTGTTATTCTTTTCCGTCGCCTGTAAAGGGAGCGCCTGTCTCTTTCTATTTTACATCTACTCCTCCTTTTTCTTAGAGGAATAAGCCTTGTGCATACATCGAGTGCCACCGAGTTAATCTGTTCTAGGCATAAGTTTGGGTCTGTGTTGCTTAGTATATCTTCCCAGCTTATATCGGTTAGGACTTGGTTTACTTGGTCCCACTTTATGTTTTTGTTATTGAAGTTGAATTTGGTGAATGCTCCCTCGTGACTAGTCTCATTTTGTCGGTCTGGGGCTCCATGCATACATGTCTGAACCTCAATTATGTTGTGATCTGAGTATATTGTTTTTGATATGGTGACATTTCTTATCAGATCATCATTGTTAGTGAAGATGAGGGCTAGTGTATTCTCCAGTCTTGTAGGCTC